CTTGTAACTCGGGATACAGGCCCACATTAGATATTCGGATGGCGATATGTGATCCATGGGCCCCAAATTTTGCAGAATTTATTTTGTGTATTAGCGAAAATGCTCATTTTTTCATTCACAAAAAAATCCACTGATTCAGGATTCAGCTACAGTGAAGTGGGTACATTGTTTTTTCCACACCCCAGCAATGGTTAATTTGGAGGCTAATGAAGGAATTTGAACTGTTTTTTTTTTTTTAGTGACACTGAGTTTTGAAATGTAAGAGGTCCAGCCAGGGGTCTTTGGGAAGACTAACTCCGAATAGTGTATATGAGAGAATCATTTGGGGGAAAAAGCAGCCCAACATTGGGCAGGTCCTCGAAACATGCAGAACCTCTCCAGTGACCAGAAATCCTTTAAAACAAAGACCTGAATGTCCAGGGAACATATGAAGCAGTTTGGAGGGTACTAGATACCAACCAGTGAGTATCTTTAGGGCTGATTCAAGAGTGGAAACTTTGATAGTGCAATTGGTGATAGCGCACTACGCTACTTGCCATTCTTGTTCAGTTTTTTGGGCCCCCAAGTCCTCCACCCACCTTGCTACCAGGATTGACATATAGACAAATGAACCATATACAATTGTTATATCAGAATCAACAGGTATGTTTCTACACTTAGCCTGAAAACAAAAGAAACCGAATGCAACCAGCATAATCAAGGACTAGCACACTGCAATGTATTTTTTTTTTTTTTCCTGGGTTTTCGGTATACTTTATTTTTGAGTTCTAACAGTACTGTACCCTCAACAGCTTAATCTCACCCAGAGCAAAGGTGCATTTGTTTTCTGCATTATATTCAATACTTGCTTAGCATATAATTGCACAGTGGAACCCTGTCAAGCACTCTTCATCATCTGGCTAAGTACATTACTACCACTATTATAAACAATTACAAACTGTGAGAATTACCAGTCATCTACTAAAACTACCACACACTGTGAAAATTTCATGCCTTCTACAACCTTGTACAATTAAATAAGTTTAGTTTACCACAACATCATTCTCAATATGAGAAAGGAAGGGACCTGTACGAAGATAGAACATCTTGGTTATAAAGCTTCAAAGCTTTCTGTGGTGCCCGAAGGGTGAGCAGATCAGGACCAAAATAAAGAGCTGCAAAACAGCACAATCTATAGTATAATTAACTGGAGATGTGTCCTGAAACTGCCTGAAACACAGAAAGAGAATGCTGCTTGGTATATCAGCAGGGCATAATAATAATTTTACACATCTAAGACGTAAAAATACCAAGTTCAGACCATTTAACTCAAGCATAATTAGTGAGTGCTGTGACTGAGGAAGAGCTCCCTGAAAAGGAGGGTCATGTGACACCAGGAACGTTTTAACATTACTGAAGTCTAGGTGTTCTCTCTTTAGAGCTATTTTTATTAAAGCATACATTTTATAACAATAAACTGGTTTATAACATATTATTTGAATAAAAACATTATTAACACCTTTCTGTTGTCGTTTCCCAACTCTTTAAGAGAATCTAAATGCAGGGAGGTGGAGGTAGGTATTTCAATCATACCACTGCTGTGATGCTGTATATTTGGTATAGTCATATGGTGTGTGTGTGTGTGTATATATATATATATATATATATATATATATATATATATATATATATATATATATATATATATATATGCCACGTTATTGAACTCCGAGATGATAAGAAAATATTATCTGCTTGATACAAGGTACATTTGATAATCCTTTGAAAATGTATAATCTGAATGTTGCTGGGCTGAAGCTTTATATACACATTGTTTTCATATGGTAATACTATTTTTTTATTATTTTTACAGGATAGTTTGTAGATGCTATCACTTTCACATAAACCAATTTATTATACGTATTGGGATTTTTTTTTTTTGTTTATCAAAGGCATATAGCAGAATACATGCCGGTCTAAATTTATGACAAAATTTGAGTTTATTGGAAATGTTTTATGACAAAGTAAAAAATATTTGTGTTCTCAAATTTTTTGTTTTTTGTTTTTTTTTGTGATTTTGTCATATCGCAAAAAAATTAAAAACCCAGTAGTGAGCAAATACCACCAAAAGAAAACTCAATTTGTGTGAAAAAATTATATAAATTTCATTTGCGTACATTATTGCATGACCGCGCAATTGCCAGCAAAAGTAGCACAGCGCTGAATAGCAAAAAAATGCCCTGGTCATTAAGGTGGTAAAACCTTCCAGAGCTCAAGTAGATAAATCTTCTGAATTTTTTCCACCTTTAATGTGACCTATAATCTTTGCAATTCAATTAAAACAAACTGAAGTCTTTATTTATTTATTTCAGGTACTTATACAGCGCCGTCAGTTTACGCAGCGCTTAACATATATAATGTATACATTCACATCAGTCCCTAACCCTCAAGGGGTGTACAATCTAAGGTCCCTAACTCACATGCATACATACACATACTAGGGCCAATTTAGACAGGGTCTAATTTTACCTACCAGCATGTCTTTGGAGTGTGGGAAGAAACCGGAGAACCCAGAGGAAACCCACGCAGGCACAGGGAGAACATGCAAACTCCAGGCAGGTGGTGCCATGGTTGGGATTCGAACCAGCGACCCTAGTACTGCCAGGCGGAAGTGCTAACCATTTAGCCACTGTGCTGCCCAAAGCTGGAAAAAAAAACCCCCCAAAACCTTACAATAATATGATTGCATAACTATGCACACCCTTTAACTAATATTTTGTTGAAGCGCCTTTTGATTTTATGACAGCATTCATTCTTTTGGTGCAGAAATCTATCAGCATGACACATTTTGCCATGGAAATCTTTGCCTACTCTTTCTTAGAAAAGCACTCAAAATCAAATTGATTTCAGGTTTGGGCTCTTCTTCTGGTATTTAGGCATTAGACATTAGATATACCATGGAAAAAAGGCAAGATAGTCATCAAGTGGAGAAAATATGGCACAACAGTGATATTACCAAGAACTAGAAGTTCCTCCCAAACTGAGGAAAAACAAGAAGAAAACTGGTCCAAGAGGCTGCCAAAAGGCCTACAGAAAAAGGAGCTGCAGGAATCTCTGGCAAGTATTGGTTGTGTACTACATGTGAAAACAATCTCCTGTACTCTCACCTCACTGCTACTAGTATAGAGTGAGCAGTGCTTGCTATTTCTAGTCACTTGCTCTGTTCTATGCATACTACAATTCCTATAGAGCAGTGCTAAATGTAATAAACAAACAGAGGGTGCACTGGCCTAGTGAATTATCCTTAAAGTATGGCTTTATTGTGTAAAACAGTGGATAAATGATTAGCACTTCCGCCTGGCAGTACTAGGGCCGTTAGTGCGAATCTCAACCACGGCACCACCTGCCTGGAATTTGCATGTTCTCCCTGTGTGGGTTTCCTCTGGGTACTCCGGTTTCCTCCCCCACACTCCAAAGACATGGAGGTGAATTGGCTCCTGTCTAAATTGGTCCTAATATGTGTATGTATGAATGTGAGTTAGGGACCTTAGATTGTATGCTCCTTGAGAGTTGGGGACTGATGTGAATGTACAATATATATATATGTAAAGTGCTGCGTAAATTGACGGCAATATAGAAGTACCTGTAATAAATAAATAAATAAATAAAGTATTATACTCACAAAATCAGCTAAAAGTACAAGCGTAACAAAACAATGGAATCTCAGGAGGCTGACGCAACCTTCGCAGGGTGGGCTCTGAGGAAGAGGACAATTCCTCGAAACGCGTCAGACTGTTGAGATTCCATCGTTCTGTTATGCGATGATGTATTGCGGACTGAACTCCATGAGATGAGCTTGTACTTTTAGCTGATTTTGAGAGTATAATACTTATCTTTTTTTACACAATAAAGCCATATTTTAAGGATAATGCACTAGGCCAGCGTGCCCTCTGTTTGATTGTTATTGCAGTATCTCTAGACTTCCACGAGGCAGATTCAATCTGTGACACAGCAGTGAAGAGATGATCAAGTGTAAGCTATGAAGAGCTTGAGTTTAAGGAACTAAAACTGATGCACTCAGAACCTGGTGCAGCTGTGCATGGTAGCCAATCAGTTTCTAATTTCAGTTTGTTCAGTTAAGCTTTGACCATGAAACCTGAAAGCTGATTGTTTTCTATGCAGAGCTGCACCAGATTTTGCAATCTCCAGTTTTAGTAAATAAACCCCAGTGTGTATTGGTCTGAGGATCAGCCCTGGTCTAGGCTTGAGGCCTGAAGCAGCCCTATGGCAAGAGAGTGAACCAGGAGGCTGAAGTATTTTGGCTGTGCAATGTACAATGATGGTGGAAACCCCTGCATGGGCAGTCCATGTCCTTTGTGAACTTTTCTGTTCTTTTTAATAAAAGTGGGCAGGAAAAGCCCTGAAAAGGCATACCTGAAGTGAACTGGACTCACTGTTATGAGGTACCATTGTGCTAAGCAACCCTCAAGTTGCCACAATATATATATACTGTATATAGCTTTGGGAGAAAATTAAACAATGATGCAATGTGGCAATTTCAGTTGTACTTGATTATTGCACAATTTCAAGTATTTTTTCCCAGGTAATCAACCACATGATTACAAAGTGGGAAATAACTCTTCAAATAAAAAATTGCATACAATATATTACTTCATGTTACTGAAAACGATTAATCATTTCCTTCTACTGAAAACAACAGGATTTGTTGGACGACTTTTTAAGTGTTTGCAATATTACTACTACTACCAGCAACTTGCTGATGATTACACTATGCAATATATACAAGTTTATACAAGTTGCGCGGTCATGCAACACTCTACCCATATGACATTTTTAGAATTTTTTTGTGACAGATAGAGCTGTATTTTGGTGATATTTAATCACCTCTGGGTTTTTTATTTTTTCTTAAACCAAAAACCACTGAAAATTTTGGAAAAAAAAACAATTTTTTCTTAGTTTTTGTTATTAAAAAACTTTGCAAATAAGTGATTTTTCTCCTTCACTGATGTGCGCAAATGAGGCTTCAGTGGTGGGCACTGATAGGTGGCACTGATGGGCACTGATGAGGAGGCACTGGTAGGTGGCACTGATGGGCATTGACAGGCATCACTGATGGGCACTGAAAGGTAGCACTCATATATGGCACTGATAGGTGGCACTGACTGGCACTGTTAGGCAGCACTGACTTGCACTGATATGTGGCACTGATTGGCAGCACTGATAGGTGGCACTGACTGGCACTGATGGGTGACACTGAAAGGCAGCTCAGATGGGCACTGATATGTGGCATGGATGAGCACTGAGAGCTGGCACTGATGGACACTGACAGGTGGCGCTGCTGGGGCTACACAGATCATCAGTGCCCTGATGATCTGTGTACATGCCCCCTCCGAGGAATGCCGATTACCGGCTCTCCTCTCCTCACGAGCTGTCAGCATGACAGCTCGTGGGGAGAGAAATGCCGATAAACGGCATTTCCCTGTTTACATGTGATCAGCTGTGATTGGACACAGCTGATCACATGACCGAGCCGACATCTTCGGCTCTTTCCGTGGATCGGTGATCTGCTGTGTCCGAGGGACACAGCGCACCGCCGATCGCCGCACTGCGTGCTCTGGGAGCCGCGCATGCGTGGTGAGAATGGGAGGACATCATATGGCATCCTCCCAGAACGGGAGAACCGCCTTGCATCCGTCATATTACTATATGGCAGGCGGGAGGCGGTTAAAGGGATTTGAACACTAACACATATTTTAACCCCTTCACGCCTAACGGTAAAACAAATCTTAAAGCCTCAGTAAAATTTTACAACTTTGACATGTGTTATTAAAACCGTACATATAATCACAACTACTTTGTACATCCAGGTAGATTATACCTTGTTTTTTTCAAGACAAATTGGGCTTTCATTTGGTGGTAAATGGTAATGGATATCTCCTGATTTTTATTTTATTATCAAAAGGAACATTGGCCCAAAATAGTAAAAAAAAAAATCTTTTTTTTTTTTTTTTTAATTTAGCTGTGTGTTTCTTGTTACTACTATATAACATAACACCAAAGAACAACCCTAATAAAATTTTCCAGCTCTTGACAATCGCAGCGATACCATATATGTGCATGTTATTTGATGTTTGTACCTGTACTACAGCCCAAAAACAATAGTGTGCACTGACCTTTGACCCTAACCCAAACACTAATCCTAGCACTGAACTAGATCAAGCCTTGTATTTTCTTTTTGTAATATTTATTTACCTTTTTCTTTTTTACAAACAGTTTTTTTTCCTCTGCAAGGAGATAGAGAGATGCAATGTATCTCTCTCCGCCATTCAGAGAGAAAAATAACCAAGGGGGGCAGGCTTCACATTGATTGATCACTGTGATAGCCAATCAGAGGCTATCACAGCGATCATGTGACCAGGAATCGGGAGTCCCGGTTGTTAGAACGGGACCCGGGACTCTCAGTGATGCCCCGGTCTTTGTGCTGGGAGCGTGCTGTGCAAATATGCGGCCCCACGGAAAAAAGCCTAGTTCTGTGAGGCCGCATATTTGTGTGATTTCGGCAGGAAGGGTTTAAGGTGCTGGCACTAGCTTCAGCTTAGAAACCTTTAAGTCAGGTCAGGTTCACAAAAGCCTTACACGGATGCTGTGCCAGGTTTGGGTCACATATGTGTACATCCTTCCATTGCACAATTCAGCACTTGGCCTGAAAAACTGGACATTTCAAACTGAGCATATGATAAAAAGGCAATATCCCAGGTTGCCTGTAGTGAAAACTGCCTGTCAGATGATAAGCAGGAAACTGGTATTACATGCGAATATAAACTTTCCTTGTCATAATTGCTTTGTTTGCCTCCCTATAATAAGGCTTACCTGTTGGTACAGTAAATATCTCCACCGTTTAGGAGATATTTATTTTGGCAGCGCCAATGCCACCAGAGCATGTGCACTGCTCTCTCAATGGACGGTGTGCATCCATTGAGAGAGCTGTGCTGTTGCTGTTTCTCATTGCGGCTCAGTCAGTCAAACAGCAGCAACCTGCGAACCTGGAAGGAAGACGAGGTGAAGATGGAGTTGTAATGTGTCTTTAGCAATGTGCTAGTACGTAATGCATTCTAGCACATTATTCTCTTAACTTGCAGGGAGAACTTTTTTTGGTTTAGTTTTTGCGGTTTACTACCACTTTAAAAGCCTTGCAATGTACATTGATCACTTGGAGAGGATTGTTTTGTTTTACTCAACAAAAGTGGAGTTACCCTATCAATCTATCAATCAGTTTTTGAATTTAAACAAGAGAGTCCCACGGATCCAATTCCACCATGTACAGTATATCAGTATTTGTTACTTTGTAAATCAGTTAGGTTTAAGTGAAGTCCACCACAAAATGTATATCATTAAGATTTTTACAAAAACTCTTTCACACTGGTTGCAATTCATGAGCCATAGTCATTCAGCATGACTAAAAAACCTTATTTCTACGGCAAAAATAGTATAAAAAGCTGATGGAGCATCTAACCTTTTCCCCCTATATACTAATCTTTCTTCAGAAATGTTAAACTCATGAAACCATCACTCAATAAAATATATAAAAATAAAAATTGTAACTATGAAGTTGATACAACCAAACAGACACAAACATAATGAACAAACATCTTTCAATATCCTCTGATGAAACAGGCCAATAGTCTTTACAGTCAAGTACATTCTTCAGATCACAGCTCGCCCTCCACAGAAATACAATCTGCAGAAACACTGACAATATTTTAATGAAGGCTACTGTGCCAGGTCATTAAATGTCTTGCTTTAATTGGAGAAAGTCATGAAAGACTAGAACGAAAACCTTGGTCTTGATTCCCTTGTAGCATGTGTGAGGTTACCAGAGCACATTTGAAAAATCAATGACAATAATGAATATATGATCCTTGGATCCGCATGCATTCACTTGGAAACCAAAAAAATGTGCGCAAGCTTGATTCCTTGTCATTAATGTGTTCATTAATGAAGTTACGGAATGGAGAAGTGCTCCTACACAAAGGACTCGGAATCTATTCAGGGGGGATTGCAGATGGCATGTCTGTCCAGAGTCTAATACAGGGGTGACTGAAAATAGGGAACGAAGGCTTCATCCTACCATTTCATTGCAGTGAGAGGTTCAAAGGACAAAATGACAGATACAGAATTGACTATTTTCATTCAAATAGAAAGGCTGTAGATTTGCAGGCACCTTACAACTTTATAGGACATCGGTCTTATAGTCCATAATACAGGATTATTATTGTTATTATACAGGATATATAGCGTCAACAATTACATAGTGCTTTATAACATAAGGGCAGACATTACAATTACAATACAATTTATTACAGGAGGGATCAGAGGGCCCTGCTATTCTCAGTACAGATGAGCTGTGTTAAGATGAATTGAAATCAAATCCGAAGACCCCTTGTCTGCTTCAACAATAGGCTCAGGAGGAGGTATTTGTAAGAGACCTGGTAAAGCAGGCCATACATTGTAAGATTTCTCTTGTGAAGGGCCAATTCACATAAGGAACATGGTGCAGGAAACCCATTTACTGTGCGCATTTCCTGTACCGCATTCAAAGCGCTCTGCACTTGAGATCTGCAGTGGGTGTCAGTGCAATGCTAGCAACAACCCAAAAGCAGTGCATTTGCCGGCACCGGATGGCATGGTACAGAGGTACCATGTAATCCGGTTGCTCTGCACTTTGTAAAGTAGAGCATGCACTACTTTTGCTGCAGTCCGGCGCACTTTCAGCCCAATCAATTGAACAAGCTGAAACCGCACTGCACCCAGATCGCAGGTGAATCACACAGGAATACACAGCGTGCGTTCCTGTGCAATTCATGGTGAGAATCAGCACTCAGTCCCACAGACTGATTGAGAGAAAACTATCAATTCCCCCATCCACACTAAACAACTGCGATGGAGGAGTCTCCTGTGCTGGTTGCCAGAATAACCGAGCAAGTAAATGAATTTGACTGGATTCAACCTCTGTTGCTGACAATTTTCACACCTGGCTGCTCTGTTTTCCAGAAAAAAAGCATGTCAGGCGGGAGTGTCAGGGATCCGGGTATGACCAGAGATGTGTGGACTGACACAGGGAAATGCAGGCTTCAAGTAAGGTGTAAAACAATATAATTTATTAAAGTTTATACAATACACAAACGCAGTGCAAACAAACCAAACCTAAACTAATACAAATATGTACAACGAAGTGCAAACAAAACCCAAACCTTAACTGATATAAATATGTATGGAGCACAAACGTAGTCAGGCAGGCCGGGTCGGTAGCTAACGGGCAGACAAGGTACAAAGGAGTAGGCAGAAGAGTGGTCAGGAATAGCCGGGGTCGGTATGGGCAGAGTTCAAGCAGTGTCAGAGTCCAGCAGGAGTGTCAGGCAGGATACAGGGCACAAGGGAGCAATACACCAAGGCACTGACTGCAGGCCTGGTCCCGCTTTAATACACCTCCTGCAATCAGCCTCAGGTGATGGCCTGATTGCAGGAGTGAGACACTGGCTGCTGAGAGCACCCGCTGGCCAGCACTGGTACTGCTGCCCACAAGGCAGGTAAGCCCCAGCACTATCAGAGATAAGACCATTCCTGACAGGGAGGGTGCCAACAGGACACACATGGCTCAAAATTAACTCCAAATAATGCTAGTTCTGGCAACCTTAGGTACCACGTAAATTGTACCAGACACTTTACCCCCCCCTAACACCCCCCCCCCCCCCCCCCCCCCCCCCCCCCCCCCCCCCCCCCGCCCAGGCCAGTTTTCAGCAGTGTCACACTTTGAATGACAATTACTCAGACATACAACACTGTACCTTTTTTATCATTTTATGAGACAGGTAGCGCTTTTTTTTGGTGCTATTTAATCGACACTGTTATTTTTTTTTTTTGCTAAATGAAAAAACACAGAAAATTAATTTTAAAAAACCACATTTTCCTTAGTTTCCATTATATAATTTTGCAAATAATCTTCTTCATAAATTTAGGTCAAAATGTATTCTGCTACATTTCTTTGGTAAAAAATAACCCAAATCAGTGTACATTAGTTAGTATGTGTTATAGTTATAGAGTACAGACTATGACATATATATTTGAAAATTGATCAATTCAGATGTACTGTATTCATTTCTTGAGGCCATAAAATGCCAGGACAGTACAAATACCTCTTAAATGACCCCTTTTGGAAAGCAGATGGTCCAAGATATTTAGTAAGAGGCATAGTATTTTGAAGTTGTAATTTTTTGTCACAATTGTTTTGAAAATTAAAAAAAAAAATTTTTTTCGCAAAGCTGTCACTTCATGTCTTTGGAAACCCTGGAACATCTCCACAAATATATCCACAAAATTATCCCATTTTGGAAAGCAAATGCTCCAAGGTAGTTTTCTAAAAGGCACAGTGAGTCTTTTGAAAATGTTAGGAAAGAACATGAAAGTGTATTTTTTTTTTTATCAGTTATCAATTAAAATATTTCTAGCACACATCATAGGCATACTTAAACCCCAAAATGCATTCTGCTACTCCTCCCGAGTATACAGATACCACATGAGAGAGACTATTTCACAGCCTGTAAAAACAATAAATAATTATCCGCGCTCTAACATTATCTTGCCTATGCTATATA